GAAATGTGCTAAATTGTCAAACATGGAACTACTGACGACCTAAGGGGAGAGTTTGATGATCTCCTACTTATGGTTGAGCGGTTCTGTCATCATAATTCCCTTATGCGTCAGTATATTCCCTGTCAGGCGTCAGTATATAGGAGGGGGACAGCCCGTCCTCCTATTACGGGCTCACCATAGCCCGTGCTACATGGACACTTCGTTCTGAGTAGCTAAATCTGAAACAACAACAACAACCATCCTCCTAAGGTCTCCCAACGTCAAGAAATTTAAAGTGATCAATTTAAAGTAGTCTCTCCTAACCTACCAGAGGACCCAAAACAGAAAACGGGTCAGTACGTCACTTTCGCCAGCCGCTTCCATGTTCTAGTACGATCATTTTTGGGCCTTATGTGACGCATACGAGCGAAATGCGACGTTCTTTGTAGGAGGACAGGTTGTAGGAGGACAGGTTGTAGGAGAACAAGTTGTAGGAGGACAGGTTGTGGGAGGACAGGTTGTGGGAGGACAGGTTGTGGGAGGACAGGTTGCGGGAGGACAGGTTGTAGGAGGACAGGTTGTGGGAGGACAGGTTGTAGGAGGAGAGGTTGTAGGAGGACAGGTTGTGGGAGGAGAGGTTGTAGGAGGAGAGGTTGTAGGAGGACAGGTTGTAGGAGGACAGGTTGTAGGAGGAGAGGTTGTAGGAGGACAGGTTGTGGGAGGACAGGTTGTGGGAGGACAGGTTGTGGGAGGACAGGTTGCGGGAGGACAGGTTGTAGGAGGACAGGTTGTGGGTGGACAGGTTGTAGGACAGGTTGTGGGTGGACAGGTTGTAGGAGGACAGGTTGTAGGAGGAGAGGTTGTAGGAGGACAGGTTGTAGGAGGACAGGTTGTAGGAGGAGAGGTTGTAGGAGGACAGGTTGTAGAAGGACAGGTTGTAGGAGGACAGGTTGTAGGAGGACAGGTTGTGGGAAGACAGGTTGTAGGACAGGTTATAGGAGGACAGGTTGTAGGAGGACAGGTTGTAGGAGGACAGGTTCGGGCAAGTGAATCTTAGTGAGTTCTTGCCCTCCAAGACAAGCGAAGGTGTTATAATTTAAAGCCCTTTGCACTCGATCATTTCACTGCTTAGTTTCAATGTTATCTCAAAAGTTCGTAGTGGTGGTGTTGCTGCCTGTTGTGTTGCGCCGCTATGGTGCTATACTGCTGTGTTGCTTGTGAAGAACACTGGCCCCCTAAGTCTACACGAGAGAACTGTAAAAAGCGGTGACTGGGCCGTGACGAGAGGAACACTGGTGAGGTACCGGGAGCTGGGACCGGGAGCTGTAGTTCATCATGATGCTAGTCGTAGTGGGAATTTTTACTTAACCGCGCTGTAGAAGTTGTAGATGATGACTCCTTTTGGAGAGGGAAGGGAGATTATATTAACTAAAGCTCCAACTGTGCTAGGTTACGTCCACAGGAGGTAACCACGACCCTAGCTAGACAGTGCGTTCTGTACAGTACCTTGGGGTCTGTCTTGACGGTACGACGGCCGATTGTCCTAAGGTTGTTGTCGCAAGCCATTGCCAGAGGTCATGGAAGCGGTCCAGGAGGCCCAGTAGATAGGTGCTCGTACAGCTCAGGTCATATATGGTGGTTTGAGAGAGAGAGAGAGAAGTGGAGAGTTTGAGAGATGGAGAGAAACAGATGGAGGAGGGGGAAAGAGAGATGGAGGCTGGAGGAGGGAGAGGAAGGGGGAGGAGGGAGAGGAAGGGGGAGGAGGGAGAGGAAGGGGGAGGAGGGAGAGGAAGGGGGAGGAGGGAGAGGAAGGGGGAGGAGGGAGAGGCCTGGTAGGATGGAGAAGGAATGGTAATGAGCCACACTCCCCCACATCTGTTTCCTCCCTTGCTTCTCAAGTGTTATTGTGTGCCTCCCTCCTTCCCATTCTGTTTACCTTCTCTTTGTTATGCTCCGTCTCTCTCTCTCTCTCTCTCTCTCTCTCTCTCTCTCTCTCTCTCTCTCTCTCTCTCTCTCTCTCTCTCTCTCTCTCTCTCTCTCTCTCTCTCTCTCTCTCTCTCTCTCTCTCTCTCTCTCTCTCTCTCTTTCTTTCTTTTCTCGTCATTGTATAGCTGCTATATGTTGTCTTTATTCTGTTCCGTCCCCCTCCTTCCCTTCACCTTTGTCTCCTGTCATCACCCTCACCTTTCTACTCTATCTCCACTTCTCATTCACTTGCTTTCTCCCTCATTTCCACCATGTTAAATTCTGTCATATCTCCCTTATCCTCGTTCCCCTATCCTCACTCCCTTGTCTTATCCTTCCTTCCCTCCCTTATCCCTCTCCTTCCATTCCACATAACTGTATTTTTATGTAATAAGACGTCCCATCTCATTGATGGAACATCAGAAAATGCACTGTTGTATCACCTCAAAAAATTCACGTTTTGTACTACTGAAATATCCCAAATGAGCCTAACTTTAGAGCCTAACTTGCCCTAGGACTAAATAGCCAATCCTACACTGCATCTTAGACCTAGTTTAGTAAATATATATATACCATACTAGGTCTCGGAAAGTTTATCATCTAGTTTATCGTATCTTCAATAACATTTGTATTACAAAAAGGTTGTTGTTGTTATAGATTCAGCTACTTCCAAGTAGCACGGGCTATGGTGAGCCCGTAGCTTACCTGGCACAGGAGCGGGGCAAGTAGCACGGGCTATGGTGAGCCCGTAGCTTACCTGGCACAGGAGCGGGGCAAGTAGCACGGGCTATGGTGAGCCCGTAACTTACCTGGCACAGGAGCGAGGTAAGTAGCACGGGCTATGGTGAGCCCGTAACTTACCTGGCACAGGAGCGGGGCAAGTAGCACGGGCTATGGTGAGCCTGTAACTTACCTGGCACAGGAACGGGGCAAGTAGCACGGGCTATGGTGAGCCCGTAACTTACCTGGCACAGGAGCGAGGTAAGTAGCACGGGCTATGGTGAGCCCGTAACTTACCTGGCACAGGAGCGGGGCAAGTAGCACGGGCTATGGTGAGCCCGTAGTGGACTTACCTGCCACAGGAGCGGTGCTGAGATGTACAAAAGATGAACCTTTTTGGGGGGTTTAACATCTTGGGTTTTGGGTTTTGGGGTAACTTGACTAATGGGGCCTTAAATTAGGCTGGTTAGTGTGAGTTTGAACGCCGAGTGTAATGTTATAACGTATAACAAGTGCCTGATAGCTGAGTGGACAGCGCTTCGGATTCGTAGTCCTGAGGTTCCGGGTTCGATCCCCAGTGGAGGCGGAGACACATGGGTAAAATGTTCCTTTCACCCTGATGCCGCTGTTACCTAGTACTAAATAGGTATCAGGGAGTTAGTCAACTGTCACGGGCTGCTTCCTGAGGGATGGAGGGCTGGTCGAGGACCGGGCCGCGGGGATACTAAGCCCTGAAATCATCTCAAGATAACGAGATACATGTACACGTTTGTACGCTGGGGTAGCGTCAGATCGTACATGATATCAGTATTTCGAACGCTGAGGGTAATATAATTGCGAACATGTGCGTATTCGTGCGCTGAGTCTTGTGTAAATGCGTACATGTGCGTATTCGTGCGCTGAGTCTTGTATAAATGCGTACATGTGCGTATTCGTGCGCTGAGTCTTGTATAAATGCGTACATGTGCGTATTCGTACGCTGAGGCTTGTGTAAATGCGTACATGTGCGTATTCGTACGCTGAGTCTTGTGTAAATGCGTACATGTGCGTATTCGTACGCTGAGGCTTGTATAAATGCGTACATGTGCGTATTCGTGCGCTGAGGCTTGTGTAAATGCGTACATGTGCGTATTCGTACGCTGAGGCTTGTGTAAATGCGTACATGTCCGTATTCGTACGGCTTGCGTAAATGCGTACATGTGGATGTGTCAAATCATGAGAACGTGATATGGACTCCATCTTCCACTAATAGGTTTTCTCCTGTCTGCCATCTTTTCTTCACCATTTCCTTCCCTCCCCCATTATTCTCTGCCTTATGTCTCTCAGCCATTCAGATGTCTCAGATGGAACAGTCTCCGTGGTGTAGTGGTAAGATACTCGCCTGGCGTTCCGCGAGCGCTTTGTCCTGGGTTCGTATCCTGGCCGGGGAGGATTTACTGGGCGCAAATCCTTAACTGTAGCCTCTGTTTAAATCAACAGTCAAATGTGTACTTGGTTGTAACAAGGATTCTTCGCGGCGGGGATCGTATTCCAGGGACCTGCCCGAAACGTTACGCGTACTAGTGGCTCTACAACCATGTAACAACTCTTGTATATATCTCAAAAAAAAAAAAAAAAAGGTGGTAATGGCTAGCGGGCTTCCCCTTAATGCCTTAATGTTACTGGCCTGGGGCCAGATTCACGAAAGCACTTACGCAAGCACTTACGAACCTGTACATCTATTCTCAATCTCTGGCGGCTTTGTTTACAATTATTAAACAGTTAATGAGCTCCGAAGCACCAGGAGGCTGTTTATAACAATAACAACAGTTGATTGGCAAGTTTTCATGCTTGTAAACTGTTTAATAAATGTAACCAAAGCCGTCAAAGATTGAGGAAAGATGTACACGTTCGTAAGTGCTTGCGTAACTGCTTCGTGAATCTGACCCCAACTTTGTACCCCAACAATTCCAACTTTGTGCACTAATGGACAATCCCATTGCGCGTTCTACACTTAATTCCATAAGGAATATTTACAACAAACTGATGAGGAAATATCCCCCAGATGACCTTCATTAACTATTAAGTTTTGTACAAAATCTGTTCATTTAATACGTGTTTTGAATGGATGTAAATAATTAGATGTATTTTTATATTTAAAATTACCTTGGAACCTGATTGATCTTCCTCCTTCTGTTAGTTTAATGGAACACTCTATTCTCGTCCTCTCTAGTCCCTTCACTTTTTAATGATGATGAAGAGGTACAGGTGAAGGAATTGTTGTGAAAGAGTTGATTACAGAGTTGGGGTAGAAGACGAACTGTCCGCCTTGCTGATACGATGGATTTGTGTGTGTT